AGTTACCAAAGGATTTACAAAGCGAAAGCATGTTTTGATGTCCATCAAACAGAAAGTAGAATTGCTGCAAAAAAATGGTTAAAGGCATATCCTTTGTTTCTCTAACCATTCAGAAATCTGTTTATCAGTTTCACTCAGCTCTGTGTGTCGGGGGGGGGGGACATCGTGGCGCGCAATGAACTGGAAGTTGATCTGTCAGCACTATCCTCATCTTCAGGGCAGATGTTTTTATTTTATTCGGCTTACACTTCTTTACTAAATGTAATGTAGTTTTCTAATTTTGACTAAACGTAATGTATGCTTTACGTATGCGCGCATTGAAAGAAATGTTTAATAAAGTTAACAAATAAATATTAAGCCTTTTTTTTTGTAAATTTTGATACCCTTTAGATCATAATTGCTCTTTATTTCATAAATTACAGTTTCATATTTTTAATTTTACAATTTCTGCATGCCATCTTACCAGAATTAAATTGAAGATCTATAATCCGGGATCGCCGAAGTCCCGACGAGTCCGGATTAAAGACTTTGTACTATATTTCACATTTTGTAATTTTTACAAAAATGGGCACAGCTTTAGTATTAGTCCTTTTTGGTGTGAAATTTGTTTGGCGATATTTTGGAGCGATAAATGTAAAGTTGTGATAACCTTGGTAACCCTAAATACTGAGCGAAAAACATGTCGCCATTTCTGGTCCCGTAACTTTAACAAATTTGGTAGGTATCAGAGCTTTGATGGCAGGAGGGATAAATTGCATGTTTTTCTTAAAGTTACGTTTGTGTTAGGAAAGCACAACATTCAAAATATTTTTTAAAAAGCTAAAATTTGATAGTTAAAACTGATGCTTTTAATATTACATTAATGAGTCTTGACATTTTTTCATATGTCAACTCTGCATATTATTATAAACTCCACCCCCCAAGAAAAGAAACAGTAGCATGAGGTAAACTCTTGCTGTTTCCTTTGCTAAGGAGATCAAAATTACCATGGTATAAAAATACTTTTTTGCCTCATATTAGAAATATAGGGATGTGTAATTGCATGAATTCTTAGGTTCAAATCAGGTTTCATTATTGCTTTTATAACATTTTTATAATTTGTCTGACTGTAAAAAATATAAGGGTTTTCATCCGCAGAGAACCCGTTTGCACTTCGGGAAAGAACCCGTTGGCGCCGTTGCATTTTTACTTGCCAAGCTCGCGGTTCATCGACGATGAGCCATAAACGTGATTTTTAGTGCATGTAAATTCAAGTTAGGAGACAAAACAATATATTAAGCATATGGTAGTAAAAATTCACAGATAAAAACCATGCAGATGTAAAACTAACCGGTTAAACATGATATACGAAAATAAACCTGTCTTTTTTATAATATATTTCACAATACAAATAACCTTCAATAGTAATCAAATTTTCTTTAGTAGCATTGTTAGTAAAACTAGATCTTTATACATTTTATTATTTTTCAAGAGTTATTTGAACTGTATTCCTTACACCAGCAGTGGTTTGCTAATTTTGATGACCATGGGGATGCATCAAACTACTCTGTCGTCTTAGATAATCAATAATATTTTTTATTTCCATTTAATCAGTTATTTATGTCACACCTGTCATCCTCGGAAAGGTTATTGTTAGAAAAGCAATCACAATATAGTATCTTAATAAAATTTTACGCCATAAAAATTGGAGTCGAGAACCGGCATCTATCGAAGGAACTTCTTTAATTATACGAAAGTATTTCTATCTATTCGTTGTTAAAAAATTCAGAAAAAATAATGTGGAAAATCAGAAAAATAATAATAAATAAGAGAAGAAGAATATAAATCTCCAAATGCGAACAATGACAGTGATAATTCAACAAAATGAACTCAAGAGGAATGGTTGCAACCTTCAAACAAGCGAATAGGATGAATCTGATAGGTTACCAGGTTTGAACTATTATCGCCAAAGTTGGCGATGTATTCATTTACCGGGTTCTCTGCGGAAGTGCTCCCAAATATAATGTTGCTTAGATTATGGAATATATTGCTTATAATTTACTGTTCTCAAATTTTGTAAATCTAACAACCACGAAAACACGTTACATTATACTTTGTGCCCTGATTAATTATTCACTACATGAAATAGTGTAATGCATTTTTGTTTGCATCATATACAAATTATTTATTTTATTTAAATGCTGTCCAAAACTGAACAGGATTTTGCAAACATATTGACGATATTTTTCGACCTATAGATGCAACACTTCTTCACTTCAGAAGTAAGATTGTAAGCTGTATATGAATAACCTTCACTGAGTATTATTACTTTTATTAATAGTATGTTGACATAACAGTCGACTTTTTATTTTAAATTTTATGCCAATTTTCTACATTACTTAAACATTTTATCTAACAGAAATCTGAATTTTTTTGTAATAAAAACTCTTACGAGTAAAGTAAGAGTACAATTTATATATAAAAATTGGACTACATGGCAAGCACTTAGATACTGATTTCAATGTCTTTAAATGTTATTATTATAAAGTTTAGATATATTCTTATTAAATTAAGATATACTTTTATTCCATTATAAAGTTTAGATGTACAGAACAGAAGGCACACTCTGTGCTTATGACTCAGTCAACCACTTGTGGCAAGATAACTTATGATAACAATTAAGTTCAAATGTAAAATTTAAATTCAAATAAATTTGTAGCCAAAGGTACACAAATCAATTTAATGCAAAGTTGGTTAAAAACTTAACCGGCATGGAATTCAACTATCAGCAATTACAATGCAAGACTGAAGACTACAAATCTTATCTTATCTAGCAACCTAGTAACGTGGCCTCGAAAGACAAAACACGGTTTGTTTTACAAACTAAAAACATGATTTGGATTCTGATGGGAAAATGGATGGAGGAAATTGATAGTAAAGATCCCAGCATAAAATAACTCTGGTTACAAAATAAAGAACGTTACATTATACTTTGTGCCCTGATTAATTATTCACTACATGAAATAGTGTAATGTATTTTTGTTTGCATCATATACAAATTATTTATTTTATTTAAATGCTGTCCAAAACTGAACAGGATTTTGCAAACATATTGACGATATTTTTCGACCTATAGATGCAACACTTCTTCACTTCAGAAGTAAGATTTAGAATTAAGAAATAAGAACATAAGAGAGAATTAAGAAGGATGCCTTCATAAAGTACTTTTTAAGAGAAACTGGCTCAGATTCACATTACATGTACGGAAAACCACAAAAACTTCCATACAGCCAGCCTGAACGATCACTGTTCAGTGGCTTATCACTCCACCACTAGTGGATTCCAATGACTGTTCAAATTCTTCACAGAAATCATGATTGTTGTATTATTACCATTGGTACAAAATTTACTCATTATGATATTTTAGCTTTTAAATTATTATCATTAATTACTTGTAATAAATTGAGGGATTAAAAAATATACACTTCTTAATATTTTTACCATTTACAAAATTTAATCATAAAAAGTATTTCTAACGCTGCTACAAAACTTGCTCATTGTAATTTAATTTGATTTCTGGTACAACTCTGATATACGCCCTAATTTCACCAAATGGGGCAATACATGTTCTGCACTGGTTTTTGGCGCGATTGTGTGTTGTATGGCAACCCTGTTGACGTTGAAAAATCTTTCGCTGAGAAGCTAGGAGGGAAAGATAAAATGGTGGAAGTTGTTGAATCGAAGTTCGGCAAAAGGAAATATCGTTGTGGACATCCTGTTGAGGGGCTGTGGGTATTTAGAGGTGTGGAAAGAGGGTCTGGGAGATTATTTTTAGTGGCTGTGCATAATAGAAGTAGGGATTTGTGATTATTTGTTATTTTATTTATTTGTGAACCATAGTATGAATTTTCTGGATAGCATGTCTGGCTGTCATATAAATACGATAGAGATTACATGGCGGCATGTTAATGGTGGTATGAAATTGGTATTTCTGCTGGTCGAAAAAGGATTAATTCACGGTTAGTGCATTCTTATTTTATTCTTGTTTTTATTTTGTAGAATGTAGAGTTATTGATGTTTTTTGGAATTGTTTGAAACTTATATTACTTATTTTGTTGATTAGTGCGTACCATCTAAATTGCAATTCGTAGATGATTTTTATGTTGAAACAGGACGCTGTGTACATGGTATTCTTTGAAATTTATTGTTGTTATGTTAATTTATTAAAGTGAGGTGTGCATAGTTCATTTGCCTAAATTGTGCAATTCGTAGATGTTTTTTAAGTTGAAACAGGATGCTGTGTACATGGTATTTTTTGAAATTTATAGTTGTTATGTTAATTTATTAAAGTGAGGTGTGCGTAGTTCGTAAATTCGTTTGTTACCTAAACTGTGAAATTCATAGATGTTTTTTTTTTTTTTTTTTTTTTTTTTTTTTTTTTTTTTAAGTTAAAACATATCGCTGCGTACATGTACTCTTGTCAAATAATTTTGGTTAAAAACTTTATGGTTTTGCTATCAAATTTTTTGTTTTCGTTTTGAATTTTTAGCTTAAATTGTGTATTCAAAACGTGGTTTTTGCATTCGCGAAAACCATGTTTTCAGAGACAATGTTTTTGTTCACAATCCGCCATTTTTTTCCGATCTTCAAAGCCGGGTATACATTGGCGACCGAAGTTTGTCGCCAAATCAAAAAATCGCCAAAAGGACCAATACTAAAGCTGTTCCCAAAAATGTAATTCGAATTGGATTATAATACAAAATGTGACTGAAATTTCCATTCAAATGAAAATATTCAACTTCTCAAGTTTTCAAACAATTCACATGACATTAGATGCACGGGATGAATACGATATCCATAAAATTTCCCAATTCAGAACAGTATAATTAGTCTCTAACTTTTTGCTGTTTGAATATACTGTTTTAAACCTTTTATTACTAATTAATATTAAGGATCAGAAAATGTTGATTTAAAAATCAACAATACTTTAAAATTACTTGTGACTTATCTTACAAACATGGTTTTTCTCATGTGGAAACAAATAAATGATTTATTAAGAACTGAGATGAAATGACAAGTTAAAGACTACTCATACAAAGACATTCCTTTAAAGCATGGACAAGCCATTACTGTTCAGATAAGTAAAGGTTCTTAATAATCGAACTTTTCCACAAAAGACGCTAATCTTCCATTATTTGTAGACACGCATCTTTCAATTTTTCTGTCATCCAAGTTAACTGTTACACATGTAATTTCTCTCTGGTGTGATAAGTACATGCTTTTTCAATTTAGATTTTCAAGTAAATGACTTATTACATACCTCACAAACATGAAGTTTCTGTCATGTGTGAATAAGCATATGTCTGTTTAAATGATGTTTCAGAGTAAATGACCTATTACATACCTCACAAACATGAGGTTTCTCTCCTGTGTGAATAAGCATATGATTGTTTAAATTCCTTTTTTCAGCAAATGACTTATTACATATCACACACACATGAGGTTTTCCGAAATGAGCCGGTTTTTCTCCTGTGTGAATAAGCCTATGGCTCTTTAAATTCCCTTTCTGAACAAATGACTTGTTACATACATCACACACATGAGGTTTCTCTCCAGTGTGAATACACATATGGTTTTTTAAAATAATTTTTTGATTAAATGACCTATTACATATCTCACACACATGAGGTTTCTCTTCTGTGTGAATAAGTTTATGAGCGTTTAAATTCCTTTTTTCAGCAAATGACTTATTACATATCACACACACATGAGGTTTTTCTCCTGTGTGAATAAGCATATGGCTCTGTAAATGCCCTTTTTGAACAAATGACTTGCTACATACATCACACACATGAGGTTTCACTCCAGCGTGAATACGCATATGGATTTTTAAATCTTTTTTCTTTGTAAATGACTTCTTACATACCTCACAAGCATGAGGTTTCTCTCCCGTGTGAATTAGCATATGGGTTTTTAAAATATTGCTTTGATTAAATGACTTATTACATATCTCACACACATGAGGTTTCTCTCCTGTGTGAATAAGTATATGTGTGTTTAAATGTTGTTTTCGAGTAAATGACACATTACATACCTCACAAACATGAGGTTTCTCACCAGTGTGAATAAGCACATGTTTGTTTAAATTACCTTTTAGAGTAAATGACTTATTACAAATCTCACACACATGAAGTTTCTCTCCTATGTGAATAAGTATATGTTTGTTTAAATATCTCTTTTGAAAGAATGACTCGTTACATACCTGACACACATGAGGTTTCTGTTCTGTATGGGTAAGCATATGGGATTTTAAATTCCCTTTTTCAGAAAATGACTTATTGCAAACCTCACACACATGAGGTTTCTCTCCTGTGTGAATACGCATATGAGTTTTTAAACGACTTTTCCGAATAAATGGCTTGTTACATACCTCACACACATGATGTTTCTCTCTAGTGGGAATACGTATGTGATTGTTTAAGTTACTTTTTTGACTAAATGACACATTACATACTTCAGACACGTGAAGTTTCTTTCCTGCATGAATAAGCATATTCCTGTTTAAAGTACTCTTTCGTCTAAATCAATTCTTACATATTACTTTTTTCTCTTGTATGTATTTGCAGACGTTAGTGTAAAGAAACATACTGTCTAAATAATTTGCTACATATCTTACAGACAAGGTTTGTTTTCGGTGAGAATAAGTGTATGATTGCTTAAATAACTCTTCAGTCTAGATCACTTGCTACACACAGCATACACAAGGTTTCTCTCTAGTGTGAACAAGAATATGGACATTGAAACTACAGTTATCAGCAAATGATTCTTTATGTAGCTCACATTGTGATTACATCACATTTTGCATTAACAAGCAAATGTTGCTTTTATTCACACACCAGTCTAAATGGTGTTTACCTACCTCACATACATGAGTTTTTTCTGTTGGGTAATTTGAGTGCTTTTAATAAGTTTCTTTCTCCACACAACATTTTCCAAGATATTTCATATTCGAATCTATTGGAAAAACTGAGAAGGTTGCAGTGGATATATAATCAAGAATTAATCACTTATTGATGGCATTCTGGGAGATGTTACAATTTCAGGATCGAACGTGGAATGCTCAAATTTAAGCAAAGTAGTTGGTGCATACACATCTGATATAAAACACTAATACATATTGTACAGAAGACACATCTAGGGCAATATACACATGGCATGAGTTTCAGGTACATATTTCTCGAAAAATACATTTGTTACATTTGGCATTAGCATTATTTCTCAGCCTAGCACTCATGATGCTTAGTTTATTCATAGATTGCTTCAAATTACACAAAAAAGATATTAAACAATTTTACAACTAACAGGAACAATATTAACAAGAAATATTCATAGCGTACAATAGAAGCCGTTGTGATATTTTACGTGCTGTAGAATGATTTACCACTTATTGATTTTCTTGAATGATTTCTTTGCCATCAGCTTTTGACCTCAAGACCATTTCAAGCGGCCGGTTGTTCACACATTTATCCAAACGACATTTTACAAAGCTCACACACAAAAAGCGCCATGATCTATTGTGATAAGAACCGAATGTAATACAGTACAAAGCGCTTTATGTTCTCAAACAGCATTGAAAAGGATAAGGATAAGTTCAAATGGATAAGTTGACGGTGTTAGGTCAAAGAACATGTATTGTGTTTCTTTGGACAGACAGACAGACAAAGTAGACAGAAGTCTTGTTGTGCACCCGCTAAGTCTTTCTGCACCGATTAGCGAAAAATCAAGCATAGGTGCGAAGGAAAAGTATATAGAAAGGGGGACAATTTCGTATTTGAGGAGAGTAAAGGCCCGTCTACACGTACCGATTTTATCGGCCGACTTTCTCGTACGATTTTATCTGCGAGCACGCAACGATTTTGCCGTCGGTACAGGAAATGCCTTAACCAATCACTGTCCGAGGAAATCCGCCCTAGACGCCACACATAGGCTATAAAAGTAATCATCATACCTTATACAAGAGTAGCGTTATAAGCGCTCTTCCAACTGAAACATACAAAACTTTCTTCTCCCTTCAAACTTTGTCCACCCAAAATTAAGGCTACTATAAAGGGGAGCTGAATCATCATCCATTTTGAAGCTAACTTGTTGGTATTCGCTATTGGATTAGCACTGATTTCTTGACATATTTGTGGATCGATTCCGACCTAATTTTCAGAAAAATGGGTGGTTGTGCTGCACCAAATTGTTCGAATCAGTCTAAAAATAACTTTAGGATGTTTCGTTTCCCTAGAAATGAAGAAAGACGAAGAAAATGGATAGTTAATTCTCGTCGAGATCAATGGATCCCGGGCCCAGGAGCGTATCTTTGTGAGGTAAGTTCAGCTTCGTATTTTTCCATAGAATGTTAGAAAAATTACTCTTCTTGGTACTTTAAAATATTTATTTTCATTTAACTGTCACTTATTGACGATCAACTGATTTTATAAGTACAAAATCAACTGCGGAATGTGTATGTGTTTGTGCAGTAAAATATCGTTGTTTCATGTTGTTTCTTTTGTTTTTTGTTATCGTGAAAAGTTTATACCGTTTGTAAAATTTGTATCATACATTTCATGTAAACTTTGTGCTCAGTTAGAAATGTGATGTGCCTTTTTCTTTTCTTTAATTTTACTGTACGATTGGTGATTTAAAGTAGCATTCTATGTTTTGATTCTGATGTATTGTCGCCAAATCGGATAGTTGGCGCCAATGTTAAAAACTGGATGGTATGATCCAAATAATAAATGATTTTGTTTTTTCTTTATAGTAAGATAAATATATTCTGTATTTTTAGACATTTTTAAGAAGTTAAATATTAATTTAAATATTCGATGAATCGTTTTGATCCCATTATTATCCTTTATTGTAGTAGTAAATCTTAATGTTGTATTTTTAACTATAGGTACTTTAAATTTATTTTTAGTGTGTGAGCAGGAAATATGTTTTAAGTAGTTTTACAAACATGATTACTTTTTAAAAATTTTGTTCTATTTTCATAAAAAAAAATTTAAATTTATCAGAAAATTACATTCTTAAATTATTATAATATATGTAACTGTAATTTAATACTAGTGCTTTTGATTTTAATGTTAAATTTCATGCATGCTTTTGTTAAATATGCAGGTACATTTTGAAGAAAATCAATTTGAATGCTCTAGGCAAGATGGGCGTAAAAAACTCAAGCCCAATGCTGTGCCAACTCTTTTCAATGTGCCTAATCCCCCACAACTGTTGACCCCACAGCGTCTAAAAGGCATTGGTTTACCAAAGCACCGTTCAGTTACATCCAATTTTTGTAATGTATGTGTTTTTTATTTTTATGGTTTTTCATAAAAAAATATGTTTTTATTACAAATGGACTAAATTGCTTTATAAAAGAATCAAAATATTGAAATTAAGGCATTATGTGATAAAGCTGTAATTACAGTCCCTAAGATTAGATTAAAAAATTAAAATTTTGCTGTTGTTATATATATAATTAAGTATGTACTTTGTTATTATAATCATATATTGAAAATTAAGCATAAAACCTCAATTTGATGTAGTTTTTGGATAAAGTTTTTGTAGTTTTTCGAGGACGGTCATACATGGGTCTGGTTTCTTCAAATTTGCTCCTAAAAGAAAGAAACCGGTATCTGATTGCCTTCAAAGTCAAAAGAGTTTAAATCAAAATTTGTATTAAACTAAAGTTGCTTTTTTGCTTAATTTTAAATTCCAGATAAATAGAGAGAGAAATATGTATGGAGTAAGTAAAAGAAATAATATTGAAATTAATAACTTTAATCTTGAGTAATACAATAATATAGTTATAATACATTGATTTAAATGTATATTTTAATGTCTTATATGTCTTGTCTGAATGTTGTTATTTTTTGTTTAAAGATTTACAAAACTTATTAGGATTATTTATATTATTTATTATTAAAATTACATTAAGTATATTTTATTTATCAGCATTTTCAGGTATCCTTACTTATATGTGTTTCATAATTTTTGCATCTTCAGGGTGGCTTGCTGCACAGTTTACCTTTATCAACTGAAGCGATTTCTGTTGCTGAACCATCTGTTGTAAGTCTTCATTTGAACAGTTATTAAATATTTAGTATTATAAACTTTTTCTAAAAAGTATTAACACTGTTTCTAAAATTTAAAAATATATTAACGTAATATTTACTTATGTTTAAGAAGTATGAATGCTATGAACAGTCCAATGTATTTATGCTTTTTTATAAGTTGAGTTACTTTGAAAATGGTAATGATTATTTGTATTTATTTTTATCCGATCAGAGTTTATAATTTCTTTCACTTCCACATATTTCATATATTATAATTTCTTTTATGTTTATTTGCCACAACCTTCAGCTTCATATTTTGGAGAAATAAATTTTGCTGCCGAAGTATCTGATGTAAATTGCCATATTGCACTTCTAAAAAAATGTTAATAGTTTTTTAACATCTATTCGTAAACTGTACTATGTTTTTTTTAAATGTTTCCATATTCATAATCATGCACTTTATTTCATTTCACCAGTGGTTGCAAATGTGTACATTACAGTACATCTCAGGTGTGTTTGCAACAACATTTAGCATTACCTTCTGATTAAATAACAGCTGCTAGTAAAGAATCTATTCTATGTTTTCATTTGAGCAGCTATTAAATGTCATATGTTTTACATATATTAATGAATTTTTATACGATTTCTGAAATATGAAATTGTTTGTCTTATGGTTGCTAAACAGCTGTACTATATCTGGCTGTTGTGCTATGGAATTATTTTTGAATTTTGAGTGTTAACAATTTATTATCTATTTATGAATTATAAAATGTTATGTAAAATAATTATTTCTTAAAATGAATGTAGTTTATATTATCTGTATTTCTAAATTTCTTATATATATATTTCAGGTTTGTTTGCAAGAACAAGCTTCAACTTCATCTTGTGATAAAATGCCATCTATTTGTGAAGGATCTCATGTAAGTAGATAATTAGTGTATTATTAAATTGCTTGCTTATACAAAACGTTTCTATTAACTTTTTTTTTTTTGGGGGGGGGGGTAAAAGGAATGTAATTAATTTCATCAGCATTTACAAATTTCTTTGTGTACATTTCAGGTTTGTTTGCAAGAACAGCCTTTAGCCTCATTTTGCAATGAAATACCATCTATTTGTGAAGGCTCTGATGTAAGTTGATAACTAATGTATAATTAAATTGCTTCCTTATATGCATTTAAAATGTTCTATAAAGTAATTTTTTGGTAAAAGGAATGTAATTAATTTCATCAATAGTTGCAAATTCTCTATGTAAATTTCAGTTTTGTTTGCAAAAACAACCTTTAGATTCATCTTGCAACCAAATTGTAATTAATTTTAATTAATTTCATCAGCATTTGTGAAGGCTGTGATATAAGTTGATAATTTGTGTTATTAAATTGCTCATGATTATGGAGATAATCGATCCCTTGAAAAGCTGGAAATAAATTTTAAAAAATAAATTTAAAATTTTAAAAATCTATCTTTAAGTGAAATAAATTTTAAATATTAGAAAATAAAACAAAAATAATCTAGAAAATGCTGAAAACAATAGAGTCAAATTTAAAAACCCACCACAGTATAGGAAAAGAGACCTGGAACTTGCATTTTTATTTTGTGGATTTATTATCTGTTTAAGTTTGACATTTAATCCAAAGGGGCTTTGTCCCTGAAGGACTATTGTTTTCGTTTTGTATTGAAACACTATAAACGGCTGCATCACTTTTCAAATTGTTGCCACCAAATATTATCACCCTGTACTATATTTAAAGAAATTATATAGTGAAGAATCTGCATAAATGCATGTATGTGTTTTTTGCATTCTGATAAAACAACGGTACCTAGAGCCATCAAATTTTGAATGACTTAATTCTACTGTGAATATGGACATCTGGAAGACCGAATTTGAAATTCGGAATTTGTTTTAATATATATTTTATATGTTGTAAAACTTTAACGAATTTTTGATTAACAAACTTGAGGATTTCAAAGCGAGCAATGGCAATGTTGTACAGAAAAGACACTTTTATCTCCAGCGTGTGAGACAATGAATCGGGAATTCTGAAGATATGTTCATTTTAAAATTATCTTGCAATATTGCTGTTGAACTGAATGAATTTTATAGTTTAAGTGTGAAAAACTTGATATTTAATAAATAAAGGTAAAACACAAAATGTTAAAAAAAAGGCCCCTTTGGGTGTAATTTAAAATCTGAAACCTTTCAGATCTTTTTTGTTTGTTTGTTGTGTTTCCCCCCCCCTTCTTTGATGATTATTCATATAGATTTTTTCTTTATTCCAGGATGTTCTTTTAAGGAATTTTATAAAACAGCAGACTGAATTGATCTCGCTTCTGCAATGCCAGAACAAAATATTACTGAAAGAACTTACAGCAACCAAAAAAAAAATGAAATTAATGTTTTAAAAAAATGGCATAGCACTGAAATTCAACTTCATGACCTTCAAGTACAGCATGAGGAATTGCTGAAAGGAGTGAAAACATTTCTTTCAGATGAACAAATAGCAATGTTGAAAATTCCTCGTAGAAGCATTGCAAAATGGTCTAACGAGGGAATAATAAAAGGCCTCAAAGTTAGATTTGCCTTGGGCAAGCATGGTTATAATTACTTGCACAGAATAGGTTTTCCTGTGCCTTCATACAGCACTTTAAATAAAAGACTTCAAGGTCTTGAAATGAATTTTGGAGTCATCAGTGAGATGATTGAACCTTTGAAAATTAAAGGAGAAAAAATGAATGCTAGTGATAAAGACTGTATTTTATCATTGGATGAAATGGAGATTTCTGGCAATCCTGATTTTGATATTTCAAAACGTAAATTTATTGGTAAATGTACATTAGGAAATCAAAAGGGTGCAGGAAATCACTATTTAGTTATTTTACTAAGAGGTTTGAAGCTGAAATGGAAGCAAGTGGTTGCCCATGAGATAACTGGACAGGTAACAGGATGCCAGCTCAAACAACTTGTTGTCAATGTTATCGAAGCTGTCAATTCTGTTGGATTTAATGTTGTTGGTATTGTTAGCGATATGGCAGCAGTAAATAGAAGCCTGTGGAATTCTTTGGGAATATCTGTTTCTCGAAACCAAAGAAATAATTTCACTACTGAAATTAAGGGCAAAATTATTTATGTATTTGCAGATGTGCCACATCTTTTAAAAAATCTCTGGTCTGCAACTCTTAATCATAGTATAAAACTGCCCAGTTATGTTTGCAATAAAGAAAATTTGGTTACTTTGCATGTATCTGCAGGATTTATAAAAGATATCTGGATTACTGAAACAAACCAAAATTGTGGTTTGAGAACTATGCATCATCTCAGCAAAGAAGACCTCTTCCCCTCACATTTTGATAAAATGAATGTTGCTTCTGCTGTGAGGTTTTTTTCCAATTAAAACAGCTGTGGGATTGGAGAAGGCAGTAGCTTTAAAAGAGATAAGCCCTAATGCTCTTACAACAGCATGGTGGATAAGATTTATATGTCAGTGGTTTCAAATGCTATCCTCTAGATGTAGAAAGAACTCAATTTCTGTGACAAATAAAAGCAAAAAAATTGAGTTACTTTTTGAATTTATTAATGTTATACAGCTTATAGAAATTGGTAAAGGGTGGAAACCATTACATACTGGTTTGATTCTTTCTACTTTATCAGCCATACAGTTAGCAGAGGCATGTTTTCTGAATGATTTTCAGTTTATTTTGACGAGCAGATTGACACAAGATGCTCTAGAAAATGTATTTTCTCAGATACGCAGAAAAGCTGGTTTGAGGCCAAGTGCTTTGCAAGCTGTGAAAGCATTAAAGCTTATCTGTTTATCTCAGTTTATATCTGACATTAAGAACTCCAGTTATGCTACTGATTCAGATATTTACTTATTAAACTATGCGAAAGATGAATTTGAATTTCTGAAGGAGAAAAAAGCTTTAGAGCCTGTTACCATACCAGAAGTTTCTGATGTATCTCTACAGAATCTCACCCTTAGTGAGGAAAATAACGTCTGTTATATTGCAGGAGCTGCAATAAATTCTGTTTTGAAAAATGCTTGTAATTCATGCTCACAGTTTCTCTTAGTTTGTGAGCAAAATACTCCTTCCATTGATGAAAATAAGCAGTACATAATTAATTTTGCAAATTTAGGTGGGCTTAAATGTCCTTCTCCAGAAATTTTTAAATTGTGCCTTCTGTGTGAAAAAATAATTCAAAATTTTCGAGACGAAATAATACATGGAAATGTAACTATGGATGTGGAATTTGTTAATATGATTTGTAAGAAAGCAGGCGAGGTAAATATTCCCTCCTGTTGCAATATCAAAACAAAGATAATAAAATATTATTTGACTGCCCGTGGAATTGGTCTCAAGAAGCTTCTTCAAAATAAAAGGCAGCAGCGGCAAAGTTTTGCATCTCCTGCTTTTAAAAGGAAGAAAGTAAACTAGAATCTAATCAAGAGTTTAAGAAGTTTTTGCTGTTCAGTTCTGTCTGTAAAAAAGTAGAGTAGTTGTCACTGAAAAATTGCTGTTTGTCTCTTCGAATAATAATTAGGCCCACCAACAGCTGAATGGTTAAAGTTACTGAATGCTGGGAGTTCCATCTTCTGTTCTATTTCCGAACAGGCTGGCTGCATGGTTGGTTTTTTTTGTGGTTTTTCCCCATGTGTAATGTGAATACAAGCCAGTTCTCCTTAGAAAGTCCTCTACAATAGAAGATCTCATAGTCAGCTAAATCGGATTTACTTTTGTGTGACCTTAAATGAGGCATCAATTGTGAATCTGTTTTGGCATGTTATTAGGAATTTTAAATGAAACATTTATTGCTGTTGTGAAAGAATGATCAACTGATGTTTACCTTACTAATCAATGTCTTATAGTATTGTAATGGCTTGCAGGATTTTTCATAATGGGATGTTGCATATGTTTTACTCTTCTTTTTTACCAAATAAATAGAGTATGTTCCTAATCAGACATTTCTTCTTTTGTACCAGGGTTATATAGTATGATGTGATAATTTGGATTTGTTTATAGAATACATAACAGTATTTTTTGACATTCTAATAGAACCAGTGTATTTTATTTATTTACTTATTGCTTTAAAACAGATTTTGAATCAAGGCTTACTTCCCACCCCCTTTGGGTATGCACATAAAACATGTTTAAGCTATATTTATAATATATCAATGAGATACAGTGGATGGACAAAAATATGGAAACACCTTGTGAAATGCATGTTTGAAAAGAAAGATTGATTTTAATGAAATGTAGGTGGCGCTGGCGTTTTTGACTACTGACGCCACCTATACAACTTCGTAAATGTGCTAAACAGTTCAGTTGTTGTCGGAGTACTGTTATGTGAGGTTGTCATTGCATTATGTCAGAGTTAACAGACTTCGAACGTGGGCAAATTGTTGGAGCACGTATGGTAGGTGCTTCCGTAAGCAAGGTAGCCGAGGTGTTTAGTGTTTCAAGAGGTACTGTATCGAAGATTTATTCCGCATATTTGAAAAGCGGAAAAACATCATCTGCTAAATCACAGGGCGGACGAAAGTGTGTCCTGAGTGATCGTGACAGACGATCATTAAGGGCAATTGTGACGAAAAATAAGAAGACCACAGCTGCAAAAGTTACTGCTGAAATGAATGTTGTGTTACCGAACCCTGTGAGTACCAAAACAATTAGAAGGGAGCTTCATAAACAGGGAATTGCTGGCCGTGCTGCAATTGAGAAGCCACTCATCAGTGACGCTAATGCCCGTAACAGGAAAAGGTGGTGTTTAAGTCATAAAGCCTGGACTATAGAGCAGTGGAAGCGAGTAATATGGTCTGACGAGTCTTCTTTCACATTGTTTCCCACTTCTAGCCGAGTTTACGTCTGGAGAACGCCATCTCAAGCCTATAATACAGACTGTTTGTTGCCAAGAGTGAAACATGGCGGGGGTTCTGTTCTGGTTTGGGCAGCCATATCGTGGTTCTCTGCTAGCCCCAAATGAACTGTGTCAGGGCACATGACTGCCAAGACTTATGTGAACATTTTGGCCGATCAAGTTCATCCCATGGTACAAACTTTGTTCCCCGATGGTGATGGTGTCTTCCAAGACGACAAAGCCCCTGTTCACACAGCTCACATTGTCCAGGACTGGTTTTCTGAGCACGAGGATGAGTTGTCCCATCTCCCCTGGCCACCACAGTCACCAGACCTGAATATTATCGAACCTTTGTGGTCTTAGGTTAGCTCCTTTAATGGAAAAAGAACAAAATAAAAATGATATACCTTGAAAACAAGAATACTATCTGAATAGTGTTGGCTAAAATTTATTCAGATGGTTTTTTGCATTTATTCAAACATCTCCGCATATAAATGAGAATTAATTATATTATATTAGTTTTAAAAGTAAAACTAATATAATATCATTCTATATAAAGCTGTTTGATGTATAATGGAAAAAATTCAATTACTGCAGTATGTTTTAATAAAATTTGAATATAATAGACTGAATTGCACTACATTAGACCAAAAAGCAAAACATTTTTATTTATTTATCTTTATTTTCACTATATGTGTTTGTCATATGTTTGTTACTAGAGGACTTATTTTATAGATTTGAAGCTAAATAATATTTTTATGTTTTTACTTATGCAAATTAATTAATAAAAAGAACTGTGATTTAAGTATTGTCTTTGCTGTGATATAGATTGAATCTTATTATGTTATGGAATTATCATTTAAATATTCAGATACGTGTAATATTAAGAGCATATGTATGTAAGTATAATTTTTCCAAGTATAATAAAAAGTAACCATCAACAACAAATAAACTTATAAGTAAATAGTATCTGTAAATTCTGTATGTAAAGGTATTATTTTTATTTTTATTTATTTGTGTGTGTATTATTTTAATATTGTTTATAGCTAAATAAAGAAACAAAAAAAAAAAAATTTAATGGAATTTTTTACTCTATTAAATCTATGAATCCCACAGTCATCTGAGCATTGAAGTAATTTTTATAGCATTCTGCACTTCATTCTAAAAGCATTATAATTTAAAGGTGTATATCTTGAATCAGTATTTAAAATCATAAAGTGTTTAGCAGCTTTTTCTGGAAACACACACAAAATAACATTTTTAACAAATTTGCTACAGTAATAGACGTTTGATTCCATGTGAGCAAAATTCAAATAACATATTAAAAATAAAAAACAAAAATTAAAGATTAAACCTTATCCTAAATTAATGGAGGTTGAGGGATTTCCCTCAACCATATTAAGAATGTGGTTGAGGGAAAGCTCTTGTCAAAAAATACATTTTGAGATAAATAACATTATGCGTGTATTTAAAAGAAAAAATTGAAAATTCAATAAAGGAATTCAAAAAGAAAGCATTTTTAACTAAAAATACAAATTTGAAATATGATATGTGAAAATGTTTTAGAAACTTTTAAAATAACTTGAATCATACGAGAAATTTGGCAATTTAAAAAAAAAAAAAAATACGAGAAAGAATCTGAACTGCAGACAAAAGAAGGGGAAAAAAAGCCACACATCTTTATAGGAGTGCAGAAAAAAGCTGAAATTCGGATTCTCTAGAATGTTAAATTTTAGCGGACAGCGCTAAAGAGCCAAAGTTGCCGCTCCACACCTAAATTGCAACCCTAAAGCTTAGATTCAAAATGGCTGACGAGTCAGCCTGTATCTCTAGTAGCTCTA